CTGTTTTCGAATAAAAAAAATTAGTTTGGGAATTTCAGGCAACCCCATCCGCGGCATGGTCCTCTGCGAATCGGCTTGGCCAGCTCGCGTGGCCGCCGAAGTCCTCAACGACATTGCTCGAATCACAAATGTAATTTCCGCTTCGCTTTAAGATTTCTTCCTCTAGATAGAAACCAAGGTTGTGCATGCGGTTCTCGACGAAAAAGCGATAAATAGTGAGCACCAATCTACCTTTTGAACTTGAAATCTAGGCCCCCATGCATATCTCCATAAATCGCTTCAGGCTCTCCCGGCCCTATTTCGAACGGTGGGTTTATTTAGACAATTCATCTCTGCGTTTTAGTCCACCGGCAATACCATCGCCATTATACGCCTGGATTTACCCATGGCGCAAAGGGTCGTCGACGAGTTGGCCGGGTGCTTTCCGCAGTTTGTCGTCAGCGTGGATAGAAGGTATCAAAAATGTTGTTTTTTTAACACCTACAGATCTCTCTCGTTACTCCCGCTCCAAGCAACGGAACATGTCGCCCTACTGTCGGAGCGATATGAGAAATTGGTAACCGATCTTTGGTAACGATTCATAGATTCTTTAGAGAGCAACCGATGGCCGACGCGAGCACGAGTTTACCGCGGATAATTTCAATTTTCGCGTGGAACCACCGACCGTTTTGGACACGTATGGCTTTCCGGCGTTACTTCCCGTACCTCGAATTTCAGATACAACTTTGACTTCCACCCATCAGCCCTGTGTTTGGACGTGAAAGCGATGCGCGTGACGGAATATTTCAGCTTGGCCGATGAGAGCAGGTGATCTTGATGTGATCTTCGACATACCTATTTCAGTCCCACGGCCGATTTCCGGCTTGGCAGCAACGAGCGAACGGCGTACGCCAGGGACAACACCGGGGCCACTTTTTATGTTACTGGGGTAATAATAGGGCGCTTTACCATTTGCGGGGGGTCCGAATTTCTTTGCTGATGAAGCAAGTTTTTTCTCGTACGCAAAAGAACCGTATTTTTCCACCAACTTTTCAAATTTTCATACGGTTTAAAGTTTTCTAAATCTGAAGAAACCAAAAAGAAACCAAAACTTTTAGTCTAGTTGTAATCTGTCCAAATTTTACAAAAATAGATGATTAAAATTCGGACCTCGGCTCCCCGGTAATACTAAAGAACCTACAAAGCGTCCAAAATATAACTTACCGTTTAGGCTCGTCCAAGAATCGGGGTACTGGATGACGATCAGCTATTTTGGAACGAAACTGAGCACTCGTTATATGGACGGGTACGTTTCCTGGCGACCTCAAAAGCAGATCTATCCGTCGCAGGTCCCTACAGGCGAGCTGTCGAAGCTTCTGATCCGCCATATTTCAACGCAAAAAGTGGCCCTGATCAAGCCGCTGTACGACTACGTGGAAGATCCGGCAGCCGTGGCACGACGCAAACAAATCGATCAGCTGATCTCCAGATTGGATACGGCTTTTCCATTTTTGAAAGCTTGCTGATGAATTGTTGTATGGTCGTTTGCATGCTAAGGGGCGGGGGCGTCGGGTCAAAAACATCATTTTCGAGCAGCACTTTTTGAAAACGGTATCCTGCTGAGAATTTTGCTGTGAATAGAATACTTGCAGTTTTAGGGAGCCGAGATATGGTTGGCGTTTATTGGTAATACGAAAGAGACGCATTAAAAGGTCGTGTGGTCGAAAAGTTGGGGCTGGGCGGGGGGGTGAGTATTCCTATTCCTAATGACCCTTTCGACGCTGGGGTTAATTTCCGTTCGTGACCTGATGTGTTGCCGCAGGCATCTGCCCGCACCTGAACGGTCAGCGCGTTCCAATGAACCTTTTCCGCACTTTCTGGCCCATTTTATCCATAAGCTCTCGTATCTTCATCATTATTGCAAACAACCAAGTTTATATAACGCCGTACAGTGCCTTTGGTTGCTAAATATATGATTTTTAACCTATAACCAGGCTTGAAAAACCGCTTCGAGGCGTTCAACCCTAGCACGTCTTGGGGATATGATATCTTCATTTTTCATATTTCTACCCGAATTCCGATGACCGAAAATTAAAAATACCCCTTTGCCACTTTATATAGGCTTTCCGCGCTTCCGGTGCATGCAAATTAGGTATATGTCGGCTACGCGGGGGGGAAAATTTTACGCGGGGGGGACGGGACAGGCAGGCCTTTTTGGATGTTCTCGTTATTTTCTCGGAATTTTTTCAACGGCATTCGATAGAGCACCAAAAAATATACTAAGAGTTTTTGTTTTAGCTCAAATTAGTGTAATATAAAAAAGTTATGGCAACTACAAAAATAAGCTTTGAAAATCGGTTTGAGCGGCTGTTTTTTGACATTCGCGCTATTTTTTCGACATTTTAAAGATGCCATTCGATAGAGCATCCAAAAATATACTAAGAGTTTTAATTTTAGCTCAAAATAATGTAATATAAAATAGTTATAACAAAAACAAGTATCAAACGTTGTTTCCATGGAAGACATGGAAGAAAATGAAGTTTTCGACATTTTCGACATTTTTTACAAAATTTCTTTAGTGCCATTCGACAGAGCGTCGAAAAATATACTAAGAGTTTTGTTTGTAGCAAAAAGAAACGCAAAAAAAATAGTTAGGTCGGCCCCAACAGTCCGTCCCCCCCGCGTAAAATTTCCCCCCCCCGCGTAGCCGACATATACCTGCAAATTATCTCCTAACAAAGAGGCTGTTCCAGCCTTTACAAAAACCAATTAATAGCGAAAACCAGGGTTGAAAAGCCGCTTCGCGACTTTTCAACCCTGGCCCCGTCTGCGCCATTTTATCCTTCACTTTGCATAATTGTCCTGAATTCAAATAACAAAAAATGATAAACAATCTCTTCTACCCCTTTATATAGTCGCGTCCCCACTTCCGGGATGCTAATTCTTCCTAACAAAGAAGTTTTCACAAAAACTTAAATTTAATGTCGAAAATAGGTGATTTTGCTAAATCTCATATGCGTGCAGTCATCTCCAGGCCATTACGCACCTAATGACGTATTATACCTAGCTTATTACCCCTCGCCTCTTGAGATATTCTCCGGACAGACGGACGGAAGTGGATGCAAAGTGGCACACACACACAAACACCATTTTTTTATATATAGTAGGATAGCAAATTTTGCAAAATCTGATATGAGTGCACTGATCTCGGGACCATTACACACCTAACGACGTGTCGAGATATCCTCCGGACAGCCTGACGGAAGCTGCATGCAAAGTGGCACATACATACACCTTTTTTATGTAGTAGGATAACTATTTTCAAATAGAAAAAGTATCCAAATCTTTTAAAATAGTTGAAAACAGTCGACATTTAGGCAAAAAATTATATTTAAAAAAAAGGCAAAGCCAGCGCTGGTTTATATTTTAAAAATGAGATCCTGAGAAAAAAAAAGCTGGTCCCCCCGTCCGGGAAATGCGAAAGAAATATTTTTTACTTTTTACACATCCTCTGATTTTTCTAATTTTTATACGCAGTGTTGTGAAACCGGGACAATTTAGGATGCCCATCAAGACTAAATTCGACTTTCCAAAGCTAATGGCGATGCAAAGGTCTGCCGTCTACCATCATCTCCTGTTTTGGGAAAAGTCCAAGCTACGTCAAGTTGCCAAGGTATGACGGTACCGGATGTCCCAAAATTAGCCCCCCCCCTCAAAAAATTTTGAGCTAGAGGGCTCCGATCGCGGTGAACATTTGCGCAGAGGTCTCGAACCCCAATTTCCCATTTTCCAGCAAGGCCTCGCTTGGCCGGCCAGTTTGCTGCTTTTCAACCCTGGTTTGTTAATTTAAATACAACCAGGATTGAAAAGTCGCTTCGCGACTTTTCAACCCTGGCCCCGTCTGATCTCACGATATACTTAGCTTTGCAACTATTTTTTATATATAGTAGGATGTCAATTTACTTTTTCCAGACAAAAATTAAAACTCTTAGTGTTAAAGATTTTTTCAAAAAAAAATCACCGAAGTAAAGATCTTCGAGGTAAAAAAAATCATAAGAGGCTTTTTTTCGGGCGCCAGATTTCGGGCATGCCCCGCTGCCCCACCCCTCCTACGCGGCTGGCGGGGATCAAGAAATGCCTTGGGTGTTCATCAGAGACTGAAAAGTATTCGGTGTTCGAGTAGTCTAGCTTAGTGTAATAAACAACCCCCCAAATGTACGTTATAGGTCTTCACCGAGCAGCAGGCACAACATTTCTTGTTTCGCACGCGATTTGACGAGGTTCGGGTGTCTTGCCCTTGCCAGGTAACGCTTCATGCTACAGTACCCCGATCGATGTATCTGTGAATGTACCAAGGGTTTCCAAGATTGTGAGAGCTATTTATTTCCTACCTGACCGCACCCCAATATGAGTTTTAGGCGGATCGTCGCGGTACCGAAATTCAAATTGCGACCAGTGATATCAGGGGCGTAGCCAGAAAAAAATTTCGGGGGGGGGGGCCCCCGAAAAAATGTTCGAAAAAACTCAAAACATTGCCGAAAAAACAGCGCCGCAGGCAAAAATTTTTGAAAAAAAGGTTACATAGCTCTACAAATAGCCGTAAAAACGTGCAAAAATAGCGCCGCAGGCAGCAAAATTTTTGAGAAAATAAAAATCATAAGGGTCCCCCCTTATGAAATTTTCGGGCCGCGGCCGATTTCGGGGGGGGCCCCGGGCCCCCGGGGCCTGTATTACGCTACGTCCCTGAGTGATATGGTTTCGAACTCGCTCAAGATTAAACTCGGCAATCCTGCGCGGCCGATAAAAATCGAGTATCGAAACGGGTAAATCGATTTACCTCCAACTGAGATGTAACGCTATTTCTGTATTTTGGACATGGTATGCCATGGACATTGTCGAGAATTCCGGCTAGGACCAATGTATCCAAATGGAAGATCTTTCCCCACGCGAATTCTCCCCCCCCCCTCCCCCCGGGAATACACAAGAACCGTTTCCGTTAGCGAGAAAACTGATTTTTAGTGCAAACTCGGATCTTTGTTCTTTCCCATCCTGTATTTTAAAGTTTCGGGCACCAAGCAGCTACTACTGATTTCGAGTATGTGATCTCCATGATGGTGGAGTCAGAAAGAGCTCAGCACGACTTTGTGAATCGTCTGACTGCTTCAATTCCCGGCCACGAAGTCAATTTCAGCTATGCAGCGTGTGGATTCGTGAGTTAGTTTTGTGGAACATCGTAAAGCGTTTTGTTTGGCTTTCAGGTTGGTGGTTGTGTACGCCCCTGCCTGGATCTACTTCGCTGGCCGATCAGGGTTCTGCATTCTCAGTGGGGAGCGGGAGTGCTACGCGGAGTGCTCAGGCAGGAGCGTGAAGCTCTCTCGCGACAAAACGCTGCTGTAGGTGTTGTTGCATAAGCACGAACGCGCTGTTGTGGTTGCGTTAGTGGGATAGATCGAATTCCATACAAAAAAATATAAAAAACCTGCGTGCGAATCCATTAGTTTCTTCGGTAAGACTCTAGTTTATCACCCTCCCTCCCCCGAGCCCCAACTTTTTAGCCATGCGTCCATTAATGCGCGGAGTATCTCAAAATGTTCGCCGTGGTCGATTACTATAAAAAACGTTTTTTTTCTTGCGGCAAAAATTGCTAGAAAATTTTTACAAGATTTTGAAAGTTGAAAAGATTAAGCCGCTATCAACTATAATAAAAAAGTAGTGGTGTCTGTCACGGTGTCTTAGAGCGCGCACGGGGGTGGGGACGGGCATGGCCTAGTGGTCTAAGGCGGCGGCAGGCGCGGGGTGCTGGTTCGATTCCTCCCCTCGCCTAAAGACGCGACACCGTTTTGCTTTTTTTGCAAAACGTTTCTGCAAAGCACCGTCAATAAATCTTTAGCGAATTCCACGTAGAAAATTGGGCAGATGGGACGGTCCCGATGCCGTAACCAGAAAAACTCTTGATTTTTGCTTCAAAACGTTTCAAGTCCTAATTTTTCCCGGCGATCGCCCAGATTCTTTGACCAAAATGTTCCCTAGAGTCTTCTCTATCGATCGTCAGGTGGAACATTTCTAATTCTTTCTCGAAAAAAAGTTATAGCCTTTAGAAAGCTTTTTCCCATACATTTTGGGGACCAAAAGGGGGCGTGGCCTAGCCCAGTCCCTCCCGTCCCCTCGTGCGCGCGCCAAGTAAGGCTTAAGACGCCGTGCTGTCCGTGTGAAGCCGAATTCAACTCGAAGGGGAAAGGAGCTAGAGCTTAGGTCTCTTCGGATTCGGATAGAGCGTGGTCAGAAACCCCCAAACTGATTAAAAAATTAAGAAAAAGTTTTTGTTTAAATTATTAAAATTAACTTTGAAAGTTTTTTCCTTAGTAAAAGGGGTGGGGGCGGAGGTTGGGTGATTTTGGACATAGTGAGCCAGGTGGCGCGCGTTTCGTGGATGAAAATTTTCACGGGGGATTTCATTTCTTTTTTCTCTCATTCCATCCGGTCGGTCGTTATTTTTGTTTTTTTAAGGGGATTTCGGCTAGAGGAGGTATCTGAAGCCATCAGGAAGGTATCAAAGTAGTTTTTGAAGGGGATTTCGGCCATGGGGGGTATCTGAAGCCATCAGAAAGGTATTTAGGTAGTTTTTGAAGGGGATTTCAGCCATGGGGGGTATCTGAAGCCATCAGGAAGGTATCAAAGTAGTTTTTGAAGGGGATTTCGGCCATGGGGGGTATCTGAAGCCATCAGGTAGGTATTTTGGTAGTTTTTGAAGGGGATTTCGGCTATGGGGGGTATCTGAAGCCATCAGGAAGGTATTTTGGTAGTTTTTGAAGGGGATTTCGGCTATGGGGGGTATCTGAAGCCATCAGGAAGGTATTTTGGTAGTTTTTGAAGGGGATTTCGGCTATGGGGGGTATCTGAAGCCATCAGGAAGGTATTTTGGTAGTTTTTGAAGGGGATTTCGGCCATGCACGGGGTCTTTTCGCGCGCATGGGGGGTGGGGAGGGGCGTGGCCTAGTGGTCTAAGGCGCCGGTCCAAGGGACAGGTGGGGGGTGCGGGTTCGATCCCTCCCGGGGAAAGAAACATGATCCCGTTTTGCTTTTTTCACGAAAAGGTGCGGAAGAGCATCACATCCTTGATATACACACCCCAGTAACGAGAACTGACGAATTTACCCAAGTTGACGCTACACATAGAAATCGAGGGATTATGGCTACTTCTGGCTCGTTTAACTTAGTTTTTACCAGGAATTGCCTGAGGTTGTTTAGGTTTGCCCCTGAAAACAATTGCAGGCAAATTGGGGTGTTGTACCGGTTGATTCAGGAAGGTCTGGAAAATCAAGCCTTCGGCTCTTCGGTGTTTTGACATCCAGCACCTTGTAAGTAGCAAATTTGTCATTGTCCATCATCCGTCAGCCAAACTAAACCAAAAAAGCGGAAAGAATAAGTCTGAATTCTAAGAAAAACGCTTCGCACAATTTCCAGATTTTCAGTCCTGGGTCCATTTAAACGGCTTTCAAGTCAATGTTGTGCCTCGCGATCGTCTTTATTTTGCTACCAAAATGTAGCTTGGATCCTTCTCTATCGATAGTGAGGTGGAGAATTTATCAAAGTTTCTAGAAAAAAAGTTATAAGCCTTAGAAGGAGTAAAATTTGGCAACTTTTCGGGCCCCTCTCTGGGGTTAATATGGGGCTCTGTGCGCGCAGCCGATCCACCTGTCGCTTGGACTGCTACGTTATCCCGTGCGCGCCTCCCCATAGAGAAAAAACCCCGTGCATGGGGGGTATCTGAAGCCATCAGGAAGGTATTTTGGTAGTTTTTTAAGGGGATTTCGGCCATGGGGGGTATCTGAAGCCATCAGGAAGGTATTTTGGTAGTTTTTGAAGGGGATTTCGGCCATGGGGGGTATCTGAAGCCATCAGGTAGGTATTTTGGTAGTTTTTGAAGGGATTTCGGCTATGGGGGGTATCTGAAGCCATCAGGAAGGTATTTTGGTAGTTTTTGAAGGGGATTTCGGCCATGGGGGGTATCTGAAGCCATCAGGAAGGTATTTTGGTAGTTTTTTAAGGGGATTTCGGCCATGGGGGTATCTGAAGCCATCAGGAAGGTATTTTGGTAGTTTTTGAAGGGGATTTCGGCCATGGGGGGGTATCTGAAGCCATCAGGAAGGTATTTTGGTAGTTTTTTAAGGGGATTTCGGCCATGGGGGGTATCTGAAGCCATCAGGAAGGTATTTTGGTAGTTTTTTAAGGGGATTTCGACTATGGGGGTATCTGAAGCCCTCCGGAAGGTATCGCAGTAGTTTTTATGGGGTTTGAAGCTATGGGGGGGGGGGGGTATCTGAAGCGGTCAGCGTGGGTATTGATGAAGGTAGAGGTGTAATGTGGTGGTGTAGGACATGGAGGGTAGCCCGAAGGCCAGCCGATTACAGTCGCGAAGCGGCTGTAATCGGCTGGTGCTTAAATGTACCAGGAGTCTCCAACTGAAATATTTTTATTTTCCACTATTTTTTTAACTAAAATGCATTGTAGGCCGATTCTACAGAGCAAGAGCTGCATTTTGGTACCATTGACAGCTCTGTAGGACAAAAGGTAGCCGAGATACGAAAACTCACTTTGGAAGAGCAAAAATTAACTAAAGGAAACCCAGATTTATAATTGTTATAAAGAATTTTCTAACAATTTTTGATGTAAGGAAACAACTTGTTGATAGTAATTCGACCACGGCGAACATTTTGAGATACTCCGCGCATCAATAGGACCTATGGCTGAAAAGTTAGGGCTGGGGGAGGGGAAGGGGGGGGGGGTAAACTAGAGTCTAGTCGTTTCTTCCCCCATTACCTTGAATACAGGGTGTCCCAAAAAACCCCCCCCCTACCTAGCGGTCCGCAGTCAAGTCCGATTTTTACGATTTAGGTATCTATCGAAAGCTCCCGAAAAGGCGAGAAAACAAGCGGGCCTCGTTTTCTAAGATTTAATCTAATTCCATCGATATTTAAGGTTTTTCTAAAAAAACTGGTACTTTTTCAACAGGAATTTCGCAATTAGCGTGCAGATCCTGCACAAATTAGCAGTTTTCATGGTTTTTGGACGTAAAATTAGCGAATAAAAATGCATAATAAAAAAAATGAACCCTCCTTGTTTTCTCGCCTTTTCGGGAGCTTTCGATAGATACCTAAATCGTAAAAATCGGAATCGACTGCGGACCGCTAGGTAGGGGGGGCTTTTTTTTTGGGACACCCTGTACATCGTTTTTATTTTGCCCGCCCCAGTCACAACCTCTCAAGTGGCCGGAGAGAGAGAGAGAGAGACACGGCGAAGGCAGTGTTGTACCTGTTTTTGGCGCGTGCGTGCTGGGGCACGAGATGTCAACAAAAACTGCTTCGTAATTGCGGACCGCGCGCGGCGTTGGCTTCATACTAATTGGGGGTGCGCTTGCGGCCCGGTCAGATAGTAAACAAAACACTAAACTAGTAAACTAGCCAACGGGGGAGGTGTGAACACGGTGGATCCGCGTACGCCAAGGTATTTATCCTTTTTGCCAGGTTTTCTTGCCAGTCACTGATTTAGGTCCACCTCGTTCTAACGGACCAGTACCACGATGAAGACCTCCCCAACTTGTCGAGCTACAACGAAACATTCGAACAGGTTCATGCTTGAGATACGGGATTTCGCTGTATTACACGGAATCGGTCAAAAATTGGCCTAAAGATGTATCAGACCCCAAATCCTGAATTATAGCCCGATCCCTACCGAAGTCCTTGAGCTACAACGAAATTTCTGTTTTTCTTCCGCAACCCACCGTTTTGGCCCACCATGTCATCTGCGCAGCGAAACTTGCAAACGCTTGTTCACATAGTAAACTGCGGGGTGCAAGTGTCGGGGAGTCTTTTTCTGCGCGTTTCAACGACTTTCGGCTTAGAATAGAAATAATAGACAAAACTGAAAAAAAATAGTAAGCTGGAAATGATGTAAGAGGAAGCAGCCTATTCAAAGCGGGAGGGCAAGCGCTTTTCATTTTTGTCATAGGGTTTCGGGACAATTATGCAAAGCAAGGTATATCATGGGATCAGGCGGGGCCCCCAGGGTTGAAAAGTAGCGAAGCGGATATTTTAACTCTGTACTGAAACGTTCAGCAGGACTACAGTAGGTTTTAATTTGGGATCAAAATAAATAGTATTTGCATTTTTTAAAAGGGTGTCAAATCGATAGCACGATGAAATTGCGGAGGATACCTAGAACGGCAGAATTTAAAGGAATCATGCAAGCCGCCAAGTGAGAAAAAGACGCTGAACTTGCCCCTCCAGAGAACTGAACACGCGACAACAACGCCGCCTTTTCACGCCCAAAACATAATTTCTGAGTATTGCAGGTAGCCCATCTCTCAGAAATACACCTCGACATAGACAGCTTTGACGACGATTATTGGCCTAGAGCGATGAGCATATTGGCCGTTTTACTCGAGGCGGTCCTGGTTCGAGTGAGTAGAACCGGTGTTGGGCTAAGGAGACGTTTTTTGGTGTGAATGGAGTTTTGAGACAAGACCAGGCCTATTTTGTGCAGAATTTTGCGCTGATTCCGAATATATTTTCCATTTTTGCTAAATAGCTCGATTTAAAAAGTTACAGCTATTTTAAGCTCATTTTAGCCCAAATTTTCCCATCTTTAAGGCCCATTATGTTGCTTTTCCCGGCTGATTTTCCAAAAATAAATATCATTATCGTACACAGAAATTTTTCTCTATCAAATAAGCCCCTTAACTCAAAATTGTCAAAAAATGAAAAATTTGACGATACTTGGTATGGACTCCGTTTTTTGTATGAGCTCGCGCCCATCCGAAGCGACTAGGCCCCGGGTGGCACGAAGCCTTATTTTTAGGTAAAGTTTGAGTGAATTAAAGCGAAATATCCAAAGGAAATGGGCCTTTTTGGCCCTTTTGGTGTTCAAACTTTGGACGCCTATATCTCGCTCCAAAAGTGTTTCCCAATTGTTTTTTCAACTGATCCTGAACCAGCTCGTCGAGCTGAACATTTCTATATATAAAAAGTTTGGGTTTGGCTAGGTGACGGTATACTTGAATTTAGCCAAATATACCATTCCAATCAGAAAAAAATTCTCTACAAGGTAAGCTATTGGGTTGGAACGTAAGTCTCTGCGTATTTTCAAGCTCAATTTTCGCGCCGATATCGGAACTTTTTTGCTGAGTCCTACATACCATTAGAAAGAGCATTTTCTGCTCTACAAAGCTGCTATAGCCGCTTATTTTATAACCGTTAACTTCGCATATATTTCGGGGAACGAAGTGTCGGCGAAAATGACCCTCGAAAGCTCGACGACCGCACCATGCAAATTTTTTCCTTGCCATAATTACGGATTTCAATCTCATCTATTACGCGGACGTCCAAGCCGACTATAGGTTGATGCCATAGATTAACCTCAAATTATTGCACCAGACAGTAGTTCTCGTTAGTTGACGTCTCACCATGAAAATGGCGAGATAGCTCTGTTTTATTTTGAACGATGTAGGTTCTTCTAAATAGGCAGAAAAGTCGGGCATGACGCTTGCGATGTTTTAAATCATTGTTTTTCACGCAGAAATTAGCAAGTGTAGGCAGAGCGCGTTTCGGTCATTTTTTCGATCTGCTAAAAATGACTAAAAATCTACTTCAAAAATAAACTAATTACATGAAAAGGAAGAAGAATAAAAACTCTTTTGACGTGCAATAGGTAACCTGTAAAATTACTGAGCTATCGTGCTCAAAATCGAGCTCGAAGGAAAATGGCGATTTTCATTCTAACCCATTAATTCGGAGCAATTTAAACGTAGAAAATAAACGAATGCCGGTGCCTGATAGAGAAAAGAAAGCTCTTTCGAATGATATATAACACTTGCTCCAAAGTCCTCTGAGGAGACAAGCAGCGAGCTTCGAAAAAAGCGCAGAGACTTACGTTCCAACCCAATACTTAAAATAAAGTGGAACATTAAAACAAAAAAGTAGCACATCATGGCCTATGGCTACTCTGGGCCTAAAAATGAGCTTAAAATAGCTGTAACTTTTTAAACCAGGCTATTTAGCAAAAATGGAAAACATATTCGGAATCAGCGCAAAATTCTGCACAAAATAGGCCTGGTTTCGATTCAAAACTCCATTCACACTGAAAAACGTCTCCTTGTAAGTTGAATTACAGTACAGGGTGTCCGTCAGCTGATCAAATTTTAGGCCTTTTCGAAGCTCAGCGCTGCATTTTTGGCCCAAACTGATCGTTTTCAGGGTTAAAACGAGGATAACTCGAAAACTAAAATTCCTTGGCAAAAATGAGCTGCAGATTCGGAATCCTTGTAAAAACTGCATCAGTTGAACTAACTAACTAACCAAAGTCTAACTTCGAGCTGGTGGGGTTGCTTTGTTGGCGATTGCGCCACAGAGCTCCCAGGCAGCCAGGGTCCGGGTTCGATTCCACGACATCGCAGGAAGCAGTCCGTCCGGCCCCGCCTGGGGGGCCCACCGCGGGTGGGCGGAGAAGCGTACTACATACTATTGAACTTACTAGATAATATGGTTAGAACTTAAAAGAAACCAGGGTTGAAAAGCCGCTTCGCGACTTTTCAACCCTGGCCCCGTCTTGGACAGCATGCTGTTCTACGCTTTGCATAATTGCGCTGAATTCCGATGACCAAAAAAATGAAAATGATTCGCTTCTGACCCTTTATATAGGCGACTTCCTACTTCCGGTCAATGCTAATTTTTCCTAGCGAAGAGGGTTTTACAAAAACTTAAATTTAATATCGAAAATTGCTGATTTTTATAAATCTGATATGTGGGCAGTCATCCCTAGACCATTACGCACATAATGACGTATCGTACCCACCCCTAACTTCTTCCCCTATAGAGATACGACTGGAACAACGATACGGAAGTGGATGCAAAGTGGCACACACACACAGACACTATTTTTTTATATATAGTAGGATAGCCTTAGTTGTCCACAAAATGTTTGGAACGAAATTTCCGAAGTTTGATTGTTAGAACTTTCGGTTCAACCAGTACATGTACAGGGCGGGTCATAAAAACAAGCCAAGTTTACAAACCTGCCGTTTTTCCGAATGCTCCTATTGACGGGTAGTTAAACCGATCGATATTCTTTACCACAGGTTTAGTAGCGCACCCCGAGAGCTTAATTTTCATACCATTCATGTTCCCAACTCATCATAAGTTCCATACTTTAGCGCTTCAAAGTTCTCTATTTTTTCAAAAATGTTCAAAAATTCTTAACGAGTAGGGAAAAATCGTAAAAAAGTAACTTGCATATTTAAGCATTTTGGCATGGTAACTAACGATGGTCCAATTCGTTTCCCCCAGCGAGATATTTTAGTGCAAGCTTGGCTTTTTTTCATGGCCCACACGTGGAATTATAGTATCCGCCAGCGAACAATGCCTGTCGCCTTACGTCGATCCAATTTTCTTTTGTGTTATACGTTGATGATCAGGTAGACTAAATAAATGTGATGTTTCGATAACAAAGTCACCATTTAGCCGAAGCACGAAGTTCCTGCGCCGCTCCAAGGCTTTTTGAAGACACTCGGACCTGATGTTGACCTGGAGATCGACCGCATGAAAATTGTGAGCATTTCCGGAAATTTTTGTGGCAGCTGCTACATTCCAAAGCGCCCAAGGCCCGCGAAGCGGGTTTTGGGCGCTGGTTTAGGATAAAAACCAGGGCCTGGAGCCGTCTAACTCCCATAATATTCTTCGCTCTGCATAATTCGTCCGAACTGCGATGAGAAATACTGAGAAGGGGACCATGACAGTTGAGCAACGACGTTTGAGCAAATCGGGAAAAACGACGTTTGAGCAACTGCGACTTTTAAGCAAACACGGGAAAACGACGTTTGAGCAACTTTCGTAAGAAAAAAAAAGAAAATGCATGTAAAATAGCCGTTTTCATAGCTTTTTCTTGGTTTTAAAAAATACTTTGTGCTAACTAAAGTCTTCTAAAGCCTAAATTATACCCCGGATAGGCCGTGTTTCACAGGGAATGTATTTTTTTTTAGCTAATTAGCCTTAAATGCCCTGAAGACCCCTTTTTGAAGGGTTTTTCGCTTCTGTGCGTAAAGAAACGTAAAGAAGTTTGTCGGAATACGTAAAGAAACAAGTTTATAATATCAGGAAGGTAAACATAAGAGTCGACCCTGGGTTTTTACCTGAAAGTTCCAACAAATCGTCAATAAAAGACATGTTTTGATTCGTTTTTCTTTTCTAAATGCCATTTTATCAAACATGTGGATGCATCTGGATTGGAAATGGTACAGAAAAACCAAGAATAAAGAGATAAAGCTACCTTTTTGGGTGAATGCACACAAAGTGGCATCAAAAGGGAACCACGGCGCGAAAGTCGGCCTATCCGGGGTATAATTTAGGCTTTAGAAGACTTTAGTTAGCACAAAGTATTTTTAAGACTAAGAAAAAGCTATGAAAACGGCTATTTTACATGCATTTTCTTTTTTTTCTTACGAAAGTTGCTCAAACGTCGTTTTCCCGTGTTTGCTTAAAAGTCGCAGTTGCTCAAACGTCGTTTTTCCCGATTTGCTCAAACGTCGTTGCTCAACTGTCATGGTCCCTGAGAAGTGCTCCCTCTCTCCCATTAAATAGACTATCACCACTTCCGGCGTATGCTAATTATTTCCTAACAAAGAGGCTGCCCGATTTTTCAACAAAAACTTAATTTGAACGTCGAAATTAGTCTAGATTGCAAAACCTAGTAAGTGTGCAGTCATCTCGCTGTCATTACGCACCTAATGGCGTATCGTACGTAGCTTAAAACTCTTCCCCTCTTGAGTTATTCTCCGGACACGGTGACGGAAGTTGCATGCAAATGCACACTGACACACAAACACTATTTTTTTTATATATAGTAGGATAATTGAATTTTGCATGCAAATCACTATCTGGCCACTTGATTCTACAGGCCTCGGCAGGAACTTCGAAGAACGGCATCGTGCTCTCCGTAGTCACATACCGGGGTAGCCGCGAGCGTTTTTCGAATTTCCAAAAACCTGTGCCGATGCTCTTTGCTTATTATTGCTTCTCCAATTAGATTACAACTGGCAGCTTTCGCGGAGGACGCACTCGCTTGGATGTATGGCGTGTGCTGATTGCCGAAAACTGCGGGCGTATGACCAAGGAATTGCTACGAAAACGGCATTGGGGTGCTCCGCACGAGCATCAGTGGGTCAAAGAATGGCCAATTCATGCATTAAAATAAACATTGATCATTTTGTTGCGAAAAATAGCTTCCGGTACTTTATCTAAGCGAAGATGCACATTACAGGGTCAGAACAAAGAGCAGGGTGATGTGTGTAGTGTCCAAAAATTTGATCCGGCTTTGCGCTTCTATAACTTGTGAGGGGTCTAGCGCCGCGGGCTAAATAGCGCATGCACAAAAACCGATATTTAATGTCGAAAATAATAAATTTTAAAAACATCTAATAGGTCGGCAGTCATCTTCGATCCATTACGTATCAAACATGCCGCAAAGCTTCTTCCCTGACCCGTTATGAGCGGAACATACATCCGGAAGTGGATGCAAATATACACAGACACACAGACACACTATTTTTTTATATATGGTAGGATGGTAGGATATATACTAGTAGGTAGACCTCCTGAACCCCCCTCATTTACCCCCAAAGACCCCATTGTGACCCCCATCGCAACATCCCCCAAAAGTCGCATGCAAATGCACACACACACACACAAACACTATTTTTTATATCCTACTATATATAAAAAAATAGTGTCTGTGTGTGTGTCCGTGCCACTTTGCATGCAACTTCCGTCATTCTGTCCGGAGGATATCTCGGAAAGGGAAGGTTTTTAAGGTATGTTTGATACGTCATTAGATGCGTAATGGTCTGGAGATGACTGCACCAATATCAGTTTTTACAAATTCAGCTGTTTACGACATTAAATTTAAGTTTTTGTTGAAAAATCGGGCGGCCTTCTTTGTTAGGAAATAATTAGCATACGCCGGAAGTTGCGGCTGCCTATATATAACCCGAGAGAGTGGCATTTTTTCATTTTTCTCATCGAAAATCGAAAGGCGTATGCAGAGTGAAGAATCTGATACGGTTGGACGGGGCCAGGGTTGAAAAGTCGCGAAGCGGCTTTTCAACCCTGGTATCTACTATAATAATTTTCTTGAGGTGTCTGTCTGTCTGTCTGTCCGTCATGTCCCGAATTCAACTCGAAGGGGAAAGGAGCTAGAGCTTAGCTCTCTTCGGATTCGGATAGAGCGTGGTCAGAAACCCCCAAACTGATAAAAAAATAATGAAAAAGTTTTAATTTAAATTATTAAAATTAATTTTGAAAGTTTTTTCCGTAGTAAAAGGGGTGGGGGGCCCTCTCCCGGGAGGCCACGCCCCCTTTTCCCTTCGCCCCTCTTCCCCAGCACCTCGCGCGCCCAGATAGCTTTTTTAAGGTACTTTAATACTTTTAATACTTTTAATACTTTTTAATTATGTTAATTAATTATTTAAATCATCTAAAGCCATCCGGAAGGTATTTAGGTAGTTTTTGAAGGGGATTTCAGCCATGGGGGGTATCTAAAGCCATCCGGAAGGTATTTCGGTAGTTTTTGAAGGGGATTTCAGCCATGGGGGGTATCTAAAGCCATCCGGAAGGTATTTAGGTAGTTTTTGAAGGGGATTTCAGCCATGGGGGGTACCTGAAGCCAACAGGAAGGTATTTAGGTAGGTATTGGACGGGATTTCGGCTATGGGTGGTATCGTTGAAGGTGGGAAAGGATGTGGTGGAGTGGGACATGTAGGGTAGCCCGAAGGCCAGATGGTTGCAGTCGCGAAGCGACTGTAACCATCTGGTAGTAGGATAGGTTGGCAAACACCTGTCCGAAAAGTCATTTGTCCGAAAAACACCTGTCCAAAAAAAAATTTGTCCGAAAATTTTATAGGCCAACAGACCAAATAAGATGGTATCCGGACTCAAAAATTTCGGATAGGTGGTTTTCGGATAGATGACTTTTCGGTCGCGTGAAGCGTGTAGCGTGTAACGGGATTGGGCGGCAGCTTGTCGAATTTGCATTGTTCATTAGCATGATCGTCATACCGCGGACCACTGTAAAACATTCATATTGGTCCCCGATTTACTAGATGGCTGTCGGCGTCGCCTCCAGGTTCGTGTAGATGAACTTCAGATTGAGCGCGCGCTACACCTTCCAGGTATTTACCGGAAAACGGCATCGGCGCCGCGAAGTGCGGGCCAGGCGACGCAGAGCGCGAGGTTGAAATGTGGGTGCCGCCCCTGCTCCGCTCGGAGACGATCCGGCCCGATGAGTGTCAGCTGGTTGTCAAGAAGGACGAGGAGTCGGGGCGGTAAGATGGTTATTTCCTGTCGTTGCATTAATGTGCGTTTATAGGACTCGCTACACCTACACGCTGGTCTGGAAGGAATCGAATGCGCCGTTTGCCGGGACGAACAATTCTGGAGCCAACAACCGCTCGACGGTTGGCGCTCAGCGTCTCAACGACAAACGCCAAGGTTTTCTATTTAATGAACAGTTAATAAGAGGATTTTTGGCTACGGTTTACTTTACCCCCCCCCCCAGCCGGAATGTTTTGGCTATAACTTTTTTATTTTACATTATTGTAGGCTCATATTAAAACTCTTAGTATATTTTTCGACGCTCTATCGAATGGCGTTGCGAAAATCCCGACAAAATAAGCGAAAATACCGAAAACTTTGAGACCCTTCGGCTGTGGGGGGGTAAAGTAAACTCTTACCGGATTTTTTTAATACCAGACAAGGCGAACATTTTGGGGTGCTTTAAATATTTTCAAAAGCTTTTAAATAAACATATCTATCAATCAGGTTGCAAGCTCCCTTTTTTCCTACTTTTGAACTGCGCAAAAACATTTCCGATCCTACGCCGCGCCAAAGAAGCTGTTTTTTTTAGGAATTTACCGCTAAATCAAAATTATTCAGGCCTGGAGAGCCTCATGTGCGACGGTCCGTGTCGCCGCAACCACCCTCCCGGCCATTTCGTGGTGGGTCGACAACTTTGTGCGCGTTACCATCATTTTCTTATTCTTCATTCTGATCCCTAACCAACCTCAGATGCTTGGCCGCTGTGCGCACTACTTGTGCAAGGGCTGCGCTTTGCTGGCCGGGCCCGATGCCGGTAAGTTGATCAGGTTATCGTCAAGAAGCGAACATTTTTCGACGAGATCATCTGCACGGCATGGACCTGCTATCTGGACCGCACCGGGGACCACGGTGACTCGGCTAGGCGCCGCTGGAAGCGCAGCTGTCCCCAGGTTTGAAGACGGAAAGCCGGATGCATCGTTGCGCTTCAGCCGGATTGCTGCCAGCCCCACCCAAATGAGACCCAGCCGTCCACTTCCGGCTCTTCGACAGCTTCCTGGCCTTCGCAGGGCACTCTGTGTGAGCGTTGGGTGGGTTTTGGGCTCCACTTTGGCTTGATTTAAATGGAGAATTGGTTCGAAACTGTTTTTACCTGTTGCCAAACGCGGAAACTTTGCAAATTTTTGTGAAAACTTGCAAAAATAGCATTTTCGGCTTAAGTGCAGTTTATCCCCCCCCCCCCCCCCCCCCCCAGCCGACCCCCACCTACCGTATCTCGGCCCCCTGTTCATCTACAGGTGTGTAAAGTATACCAAAATACTCCGGAGAGCAAGGCGAACATTTTGGTTTACTTTAAACACCTGTAGATGAACAGGGAGCCGAGATACAAAAGTTGGTTGCCAGCTGGGGGGCAGGGGGAGGGGGGGGGGGGGTAAACTGCATTCTAACCGCATTTTCTAGTAAACTTCTGTTGTTTGATTTTTATATTTCTTGTAATTCCCTGTTTTTAGATGGGTTTTCCGCTATCAGTATAGTTAAATTTATTAAAAACACTGAAATATCCGAACGGGCGTCGAACGGAATACTTTCTCGGTGGAAATAACGCTAAATTTGCTAAAATATCTGCCTGGTTTATTGCGTTAATGGTAGGTGGAAATAAAAATAATAATTAAAATATGGCCGTGTTCAGTCCCCGCTGGTGACGGCCCGTTCGGACGTTTGGTCGAGTACATCGTTGGTCCCTCCCGTCCAATCTTTCGAGCCGATGAAGATGCGCGCCATCGTTCTCCGGCCCACCCAGGAGGGCATGCGCAGGCTCATCTGGTCGGTAAGTGAGCGCATTTAGCAATCGCGAATTTCACCGTTTCCCTAGGGCGACTGCGTGCCTACCTCGACCCTTCGCGAGGTCATCCAATCGTTTGTCCCCGATTATCAGTGAGAATTTTTCCCTTATGCAAATTTTAATTTCCAGGGCCGCCCGTGTTTTCATCTGCCGAACCTCTCGCGGACCCGCCGGAGACCATCAGCTGGTTAACCTCGACATGCGCGAGGACGGCGACTCGCCGATTGGCAAGGTAGAAGAGGATAGACGGAATTTTAAATAGCTAAAAGTTACTAAAATTAGAATGTTTAAATTTTATGATGCCTAATAACAAGCCTAATTGTTTTGTAGAAGGCCAAAAATACCTAGTAACTTAATAATAAAAAAATTTCAAAATATTTTAAGTAGAAAACTGTTTTTAAGAAACTGACAAATCGAAAAATTCTAAATTTGGTCGGAGTTGGCGAGTTTTGGTTAAAAAAAAAAATCGATACTTTTGTTTTTTTGAGTACACTTTCTAAAGTTTTTGCGCTGAGCAGCAGTAAAAAGCAAAAAAATCTCTATAAACATTTCTTCCAATTATATCAGACAGATTCGATGCTAAGGAACAAAAAAGTTGGTTTCTCCCGTTAGACCCCCCCCGCTAACGAACCAGAGCCGTTTCCTCATGACCTGCTGTTTTTTAGTATATCGAGATGGCCCGTCACGGTGTCCTGGAGCTGGCCATCGACTTTAGCCGCCGAATCACCCCGCACTACACATTCTGAAGCCCTGCCTGTGCCCGTCTCCTCATCATCGATACTTCCGTTAACAAGCCCCTCCTCACCATGCCGTACCACTCTACCACTCGTTCATCCCTCCTGTTGCCCTCGACAAAAACATTTAACGAATTGAATCTTTCGCGTGTTACTGGTCGTCGACGTTTCTGCTCGGCTGAAATAAAGCTTATCAATTACTGTTTTCGAGTGCATTTTATGGTACTTGACTGTTGGCGGGGGGGATAAACCATTTTTTTCTTTCCCGCTTTTTGTTGATAGTTTATACTGTTTTTATTGGCCTTTAATTGCTAGGAGGTTCAAACAATATTTTAAGAATTTTTCCAACGATGCTAATTTTTACCTGTTTTGTTATCTTTTTAAAGGTTTGTTAAATTTTCTTATTTACGTCCACACCAATGTCGACGATAAACCTCGAGACCCCAAAATCCCGACAGGCCAAAATCCCGACAGCTCTAGGTATCGACAGCCAAGATCCTGACAAGCAAAGTAGATGTCTAAAAGGAAATCAAACTACCGTCCGGACTATGTAGGAATTTTGGCTTTCGGGATTTTTGTTGTCGGTATTTTGGATCTCGGAATTAAGGCTACGTTCGCTGTCGGTATTATGGCTATCGCGATTTCGGCTGTCGAGGTTAGGGCTTTCCGGATTATGCATGCCGGGATTATGGGTGTCGGTATTATGGGTATCAGCGTTATTGCCTGTCGAGATTTTGGCTTGTCGGCATTTTCGCTATCGAAATTTTGGCTGTCGTTATTTTCGCTTTCGGGATTATGCAGTCGGTATTTTTGGCTGGCGGAATTTTGGCTAGAATTCGGCTTAACCCTCATTTGAAGACCACCCGCGCGTAGATCCGCCCTTCCCATACCAGGTTTATCGAGGGGTTTGATTGAGAGGGTCGAGTGTTAGCCGGCGGCTTGGCCCCTCCCCCCCCCCCCCTTCCTTCCCATTCCTTCCTCCTCATTCTAGGCACAAGCAAACAATATCCCTTCTGTGGGTGGGGGGAGGTCTCCGTTTTGAGGGTGACCGCACCCTCCCGCCTTCTACGGCTTCTTCAACACCGAGCTTCTCCTCCCTGAGTCCCTGATTCTGGCTCCCGGTGCTTTTGCGTTATCGGGGGGTGGTTCGACCAGTTTCTGGGATTTCGATTTGGACCGCCGCGGCCTAGCTTTTGCAGAATTTTGAACTAGTTTTTCAATTTTCCAAATTTTTTGTACTTATGCAATATCGGGGGGGAGGGGTGATCAACTTTTCCTTACGATCGCATTATTTTATTCCTCGAATATGTAGAACTGTTTTTTTTTACTATTCTATGCTTGAAATCTTGACAAATTTGCTAGAAAATACAAAATAAAATACGAATAATAAAACAAAATAAATTTTAATTACGCTACTAACCATTAATATAATCATAAGAAAAAATAGGTCCCCCCGCTAATGCAAAAGTACCCAAGAAAGCGCTTTCGAACCCAAAATTTGCAAAACGCCGAATCTAACCCTTTTTTAAAAAAACAGTTTTAAATGCCAATTTTCACTCCCATAAACCACCTCCGGATGCTCGAACCATGATTGACGGGCAGGCGCCGCTCGATTCCGGATTTTACCTATATACGCGCGGTGTCAGCGCAGCCCTACTTTGGTACCCCTACACCTAGAGGGCGTAATTACCCCCCACATACCCACAAGCGAGAGTTTGACAGGTCTTACACAACGCCCTTAACCCCCCCCCCATCGTGAAAATGCCCCCCAACCCCATTTCCGTATTTTTTACCTGTACCGTAAACAGGACTCTTTTGAGCGGTTAGAGGTTTTGTAGATTTTTCTGTCGTTTTCGGTAGTCTGTGGGGGAACGTATCGATTTGAATAAATAATTAGCATAACTAAAATATAGTTAGATTCTCCTAAAAAAACACCGTACCCCCGATAAGGCTAAAGAACCCAGTTTCAAATATCACTGGAAAACTACCAATTTTGCAGCCATTTTCCCGGTTGGCGCTCGACATGGGCTTTTTGGGGGTTTACCAGGCAGCGCGACCGGAATTTTGGGTAAAAATGGCTTGCCGCCCCCCGGGCTCTGAATTACTGAATACAGAGAAACAGGCGAACAGAGAAACATACAGACACACAACTGGATCTGCCGGCAGCCATTCCCATGTGGGGGCCAACTAACCGGCGGCTACGCCGAATTACCCCGATTTTACCACGCCGACGCCCACCCTCATACTTTGCATCTTTACTCTCGCTCTAGTTACTACTTTAACTAGTTGTTTTTGTTGTTTACTATACGTGCATGTAGATAATGTCGATTTTTACAGGATTCTAATTTGCATAATGCCGATTTTTACAGAATTTCGCTTGCTGGAATGCCTATTTTAAAGAATATTTTTATAACGCCGATTTTCGACATAATGCCGATTCATAGGATGCCGATTTTTATGCCGATTTTTCTATAATGCCAATCTCTATAATACCGACTTTGGCGCTATTTTCCTTTACCTAAATTGCGGAGCTTTTGTTTATTTTTCAAATAAGCCATTTTTAGCGACCCGCCCCGACTCGACTCGACTCGAAACAAAGAAAACAGTATTCCAGCGCTATATTGCTTATTCTTTCTAACACGAATCCGACCCTGATAGCTACTCGTTGATGCTGTTTGATTCGCTGGGATGGGGCCGACCCCCCGGAGATGAGCAGATGCTCGAGACTCGATTCTAAACTTTTCATTCTTTTCGCCTCATTCTTGGCAATAGCAAGTGTGGAAGCACAGGTTAGTTCTTGTCTTGAAAACGATAAACGCGTACCGGAAAAAGAGCAATTCGGAAAAACTTAGGGATGTGAATGATAAAACCGTGCGAAGTAGCGAATCGTACTGGAAATTTTCGTTGTTTCGCATTACCAGGAGGCAAACTTATTGTTGTGTTTTTTTTTGATCTGCTATCCAATCCTACCTTATATAATTTGGTCGCGTATCTTTGTGTGTGTGTGTGTGTGTGTGTGGATGTCACTTTCGAGGCCCGATTTGAGGGCTTTCCCGTGCATGAAATGCCCTAGTTCTCCGTCACACGGGGGAATCGACCCTCCTCTTTCCGATGGCGTTGTCAGAATTGCGATAGAATACAAGTTTACAAAGTTAAAGCCGGTTTTATTCATTTTGGGGGTCCCTGAGGGCTAATTTGCATAATGCGGAAAAATACAAATTTCCTCATTCTTGCCAGTCGCACGCGCGTGTGTGGCCGGTGGGGGGGGAAGGGGTCCGAAGGACCCGAGTTATCGGTAAGCCAAATTTTTCATGCAAAGGCCGCATTCCAGCGCCCAAGGCCCGCGAAGCGGGTTTTGGGCGCTGGTTTGGTAATAGAAATCCGGGAAAACTTTCCAAGCTCTTTTTGCTGCGTCTAAACGTAAAAGAATTCAAATGTTTTATACAAACTTCCAGAAATGGAATTTTTCCGAATCTGAAAGTTTTTTCCATAGTAACCGCTCGTAATCAAGCTAAATTCTTCTGAAAACTCCTTTAAAGTGGTTGCCATTGCGCTTTTAGGCATCCTTGCACGTATGCAAAAAAATTCAGTGCCCCCTGATAATGCCAGAGTCCCGGAAAACTACAACACTGTGAAAAACTTTGCAAAAATGCCGACGCTCAATTGATTAATTGATCTCAACGTTATGAAACTAAATTTTCTGACCCAGGTGGTGACGCCGATCCCCGGGTCGGCGGCCACAACGCTGCCATGTTGGGAGCGGCCGATCGGTTGTGCTATCTCGTGCCCGCATGGCTTCCGGAGATCCGCCCTCGGCACTTGCTTGTGCTCCTGCGCAGCCTCGCCTTGTATCACGCATGTCTGCGGCCAGGAGGAGGTTGGAAATCTGGTTCTGGTCTGTTAGCGGGGGAGGGAAACCCCGATATCCCCGCCTGCTAACAGACCAGAACCAAAATCTGTCTTCTTTACAACTTAATCCTTTTCCAGATTTGCGTCCTACAGCACGGAAATCCGAAATGCGTCGCTGTCAACGGGGAGGCAATCGTAGGCAAAGGTATTCGGTTCTTTTCCGTTATTGGGGGTAGGGGGGAAGAGCTTACCGCTGGGGGGAAAATCGTGAGCCCCCCGTTAATCAACTAGAACCCGAATTTTTGTGTATAAATCCAGTAATGCTCAATAACATGTAAGCAAGTATTTTAATAGTGTTTTTTTGTAACTTTAGCTACACATATATACTCAGTAAAACAACCACTTTAAAAACTTTAAAAAGTTTAATTTTAAATTTTTATCAAAATCAATATTTTTAATTTTGTAATAGAAATTTGTGTAGCTTTTACGTTTAAGAATAGCAAACAGCTTTATACATGCAGTTTCTTGATTTTTATTAGAAAAAACTGAGCCAAATGAGAAACAGAAAAATTCCTCTTTTCAGAAAAACCCCGACCGGAATGCCCGCGGTTGATCGGAGGTCTTTGTGCGCTGAAATGTGAAGAGGATTCGGATTGTAGTGGGAGGTATGCTTTAAGTCTATTTTTACGATATTATAGCACACTTTCACTGTTTTTAAAACGATGTTTAGGCTAATCTGTTGCCACAATGGCTGTGGGCGGGAATGCGTCGCCCCCGTTCAGCCATTTGCCATCGCCGCGGCTCCTGTGCCGAATAGTTCGTTATTTCACAACTATTTTCATTTAAATGTTATAGGTTTCCCGATAATACCATCGGCTCGCCCTTTGCCTGGCCGAATCGGCACGCCCGTTTATAACTCGGCGGTGGGATTTTGGGGCACTGGACTGTTAGCGGGGGGCGGTGGCTTTTTTTGGTTTTCCGCACACCCTCAATGGCATAGATGTGTCTTATAATGTTTTAGTAGTTTTTGCTTACTAGGAAATGACCAGTTTTTGGTCATTTTTTATCCTTTTTGACAAAAAATTATCTAATTTTTATGTGCTTTTTCTAGCTAAAACCCCATAGTGCCCCCCCCCCCGATAACAGTCCAGTACCGCGATTATTATTTATTTTAAAACGGCGAAAATATAATTTTCAGGAAGCCATTCCCTCTGAGCCGCATCACGAAAAAGCCAGGCAAATCCCTGTGCAGACGATCATCGCGAAACCGATGCCGGTGAAGGGTGGGCAAGGTGTGTTTCTGGTCCTTATGCAATACCGGGGGGGGGGTTGTAATTTCTCCTAGTTTAAAATCTAAGAGTAATAGCTAATATTTTAATAGGTTTTCGGAAATTTCTTCTGTATCTCGAATGGAAAAACTATCTTAAAACCTCGAAAGTATTTAAAAAAAGGTAGAATCAGCCATTTTTCGTCTTTTTGGAGAGTTTTTGCGCTCAGAATATTAAAAACAGCTTTGAAATATTTCTATTTCTATTAGGAGAGTCGGATATTAAATAAAAAGGGGTAAAAAAGGTTTTTCATAACCCAATAATACCAAAGCACCAACAACTTCTGATTTTCCAGCGAATCCAGCTGCCGATCGGCCTCCAGGAGAATGCCCGTCCGCCGCAGTGCTGGCCACCGAATGCCCAAAGTTGTCGCTCGGAGACGGGATTCCAACGCCGAACTGCCAGGGCGACGACGAATGCCCGGCTTCTTTTCTGTGCTGCCCGACAGCTGCGTGTGGAAATGTATGCACAGCTCCCACAAAAACTACAGGTAATCGTCGAAAAAATTCAGCCCGGGTCCCGACATCAAAAATATCGACAGACAACGCCCCAAAGGCGAAAATACCGACATCCTTTCAGCCAAAATCCCCAGGGTCCAAAATACCGACATTTTCTTCGCGTGATGTCGGGATTTTGGCCCATCGAGATTTTAGTTGACAGGATTTTAGCCGTCGGCATTATGGTCACGGTTTTTTCGTGTCGGCATTTAAGCTACAGGGATTCTGGGTCTGTCTGTATTTTTCCCGTCGGGGCTTTGACTTGCCGGGATTTTTGCCTTTTCACGGTGTGAAAATATCTTAAGCTTTTTCCTCTTTCCAGGTTGCCTCCACCTTTTGGCCTCGGCTCTTCGGTTACCGCAAAAAGCGCTCGCCCACGATTTCTTGCCGGTGTGCACGAAAGATGGGCAATTTGAGAAGATACAGTGTGACGAGTGGGTTCTGTAAAATCTATCAATTCCCAGTTTTAGTTTGTATTGCTGGTGCGCAGATGTCTCCAACGGTGCCGAAACGCCAGGCACACGTCGCCCGAAAAGCCTGAAATCGCCGCTACTCTGTTTATGTGAGTTTTCAAACCTCGCTGAACTCATGCTAAACCCGGGGCTCCGTTTGTTTACTGCAGTGTGCGGGCGATAGGAGCGTCACGGAGTGTCCGCAGCCCCAAATTTGCATAGCGGGTACCGGAGTGCGCCTCTAGACGGGTTATCGCCCGGATTAGGGCACCTAGCCACCAGAGAGGGCGCGTGGACGCAACATATAGCTTTTCTTTTGACTTAGAGGGAAGTGGCGACAACTCATAGAAAAAAATTGCAGGAAATTGATTTGCAAAATGTCGAAAATTCGGGTGTAAAAATCGAACTTGTCGAAAAGAAATCCCAGCCATAATACCGACAGCAAAAATCCGGATAGCCATAATTCCGGCAGAAAAATTCCGACAGCCAAAATCTCGACAACCCAAGATCCCGACAGCATCCCGAAATATTCTTGATAGACAATTCTTGCTAATTTTTGGCTGTCGGCATTTCGGTTTGGGCCGGGCTTTGGCTGTCGGGATTTTGGGGGGCTGTCGGTATTTTAGATGTTGGCATTATGGCCATCGGGGTTTTGGTCTGCCGGGATTTTAGCATCTCGAATTTTGGCGTCTCCTATCGTTGTCGGGGTTGATTTAGCGAAATTTTATTTTGTCGGCATTTCATTTCCTCGAAATCTTATTTTTTCGGTGCTTCAAATTTGTCGAAAACGGCCCGCCTTCAGTGTTTCGAAAATAAAAAATTTCCACCAGTAATTTCGGCATTCTAATTTTCCATTAAATGAAAATACTCGCAATGAGTTCCATGTCGTAACCCTTTAGCCCCACGCTCCTGCCAGCTCTCCTGCACGAACAAATGTCCGCACGGGCACAAAATGGACACCAGCGGGTGTCCGTTGAAGAGCTGCGAGTGTCGAAGCCCTTGCGATGGCATACGGTATTTCGGGTGTGCTTTAGGGGACATAACCGATTTCAGGTGCTCCCTTGCTTGGGAAACCTGCCAACTCGTCGAGCCGGATTGCGCCCAACCACCGTGTTTGCCCGTTCCCAGATGTATGTATAGAAATAAGGAAATAATTTTATATACTTTTAAAATAAAAATAATTTTGGGTTCTTTTGCATTAGGGGGGGGTACCTAGGGTCCAATTTTACTAATGTATTTTTTCATTGAAGTTTTTCAGATAGCTTTCGAGTTAACATTCTGCTAATATTTACAAAAAACGATATTAAAGTACCTTCCTTTCTGGTCAGTTACTAGAATTATTTGGACTTCAAATCCAGATCCCCCCCGATAATGCATCAGTACCAAATTCCGTGTTGTCGAAGCTTAAAATCCCGAAATCGGCATTTTAAAGTGTAGGAATTTTGAACAAATTTCGACCTTCTGAATTTCGCTATTTTGAAAGAAGGCCGATTTTCAGGCCTGATCAACCCGTGCCCGGAAGGCGATCCGCTGACGCTGCGCAACGGCGTGACGGCCCTCTGCACCGAGGCCACCCACTGTGGCCAGCACTTTTTCTGCCACCTGGTAGGCTTTTTTAATTAATTAATTGTTAAAAGTATACCCAAATCAATAGTTGGCCCCGAGGTGTCTTGTGCCTAGCTAGCCATGACTCCGCGACTTGTCTATCGACAGCGCTGTTTACCTACCTGTCAGCATCCAACATTTCCCCCTCGGGGGCCCCTGATAGTTCCGGCTATGACCCTTGAAAGGGTAGTTAAGGGATCTGGCTTACTAGATACATATGGAAATTTACCGAAAATCATAAAGGAATCATATAAAAAAGTGAAAATCCGGATCTTTTACATTATCGGGGGGGGGCAGACTTTTCTTTCGTATCTGATTTTGCTAATATAAATAGAAAAAGTGCTTTTGTGTTGTTTTTACCATTGCAAACCAAAGGAATTTACAAATTCTATCGAAAAGACAAAAATATCGATTTTTGATCAAAGAGCACCGATTTCGACCAAAATTTCGAATTTTCACACATTTCTCTGAGTTTCTTAAGCGTTTTACACTTAAAATACGGCCAAGTTTTGTAAAAAATTAAATCAATCAAATCGCCCGAGATTTCTGGCCTTGTAGGCCCCCCCGCTAAGACACAAGCATCCAAAATCCAAGGTGGCGCCTTAGCGTTTGTAAAATTTGCTTTTTATTCGCAACTACATGATACACCCATTGACTCATCCCAGATCGGCTATAACGGCCTCGGCTTCTGCTGTCCCGGCGAAAAACGGGACGCGAGAGAAGGCAACTGTCCTGCCAGACAGCCACAGCTTCGCCCTGGTTGTCATCAGGAATGTATCGTCGACCTGGACTGTGCCGTCGGAAAGGTAGAGATACGTTTTATGCCACGATTGCGAACAGCTAGAAAAATAGAGCTAGTTCGTTAACGGGGGGGGGCTTTAAGGAATTTTTGTATTCCCAAACGCAAAAACTTGCATTTTGAATACAAAAATTATGAATGATTCAATCAACAATGACCGATTTTCGACCAAAATGTCACCTAAAAATCGTTCTAATTTTGATTAATGCATTTCCAGCTGAAATCGACTTAAATTTTACCAAAAACGGTCTGAATATTTATGATTGAGTTACTAGGAATTTCTGGACCCATAGCAAACATTCGGTGACTCCCCCCCCGATAACGCAAATGATCCTACAAAATCTTTCAATCGTTTTAGTGCTGCTTCGATGGTTGCGCCCTGCGTTGTGTGAGCAACGCCTTCCTCCCCCATCCGCTCACCCCAATACGCCCGGTTACCGTTTCCGGATCCTCGTCGATACCTACCACGACGTCCGGAGGTTCCGGCTTCTCCCCTGGGGCCGTGTTTCTACGGAATAAAGGTGGGGACACGAAGAATAAAAAAATTGAGCTCTATTTTTCAGAGGTCTTCACGCGCAAAATGGCAAGTTGTGCGGCAGTGGAAGAAGAAGCGACCGGAAAGAGGTGCAACTCGGACTGTGCTTCGGACGCTTCTTGCGAGGGGTCACGGATTTGCTGTGCGACCAGCTGTGGCAAAAAGTGCTTGTATCCGGCGGTGGCGTCGCGTAAGTGAAAAATATACATCTTTCACTGGCTTGGTCTTGGGCGTAGGCTTAGGCTTAGGCTTAGGCTTAGGCTTAGGCTTAGGCTTAGGCTTAGGCATAGGCTTAGGCTTAGGCTTAGGCTTAGGCATAGGCTTAGGCTTAGGCTTAGGCTTGGGCTTAGGCTTAGGCTTAGGCTTAGGCTTAGGCATAGGCATAGGCTTAGGCTTAGGCTTAGGCATAGGCGTAGGCTTAGGATTAGGCTTAGGCTTAGGCTTAGGCTTAGGCTTAGGCTTAGGCTTAGGCTTAGGCTTAGGCTTAGGCTTAGGCTAGACATCCTTACTAGACATACTCTTTAACGCGATTTACAGCCTGCGTCCATCGTTGGGTCACGTCGGCGCTGTATTCACTCCGTTCCGTGCTACAATGCGCCGCCGATGGCCATTTTGACAAGCGCCAGGTAGGAGCTTATTTTTCATACAAGAAAGTTTTCATAGTGCGACGATGATGGGTGCTTTTGCGTCGATCAATTTAATGGGCTCGAGCAGGCCGGCACGCGAGTACCACACTTGACAATTCCTACCTGCATACGTGAGTATTGGTTTTTATAAATAAATAGACTTTTAGTTCCAGAATTGCTTGCTTGTAATTATGAAAAATTGGTTTTAGTGATTTAAAGATTTTCATGAGATCTATCGCATTTCAGCTGATCTCTCTCCCTGCCGCTTACCGGTCTGCCGCGCCGAATGCCCGCACGGATACACCATTTCGCCAGCTGGATGCCCCTCATGTGTTTGCAGGAATCCATGTTTGGAGGTAAGTCTACTCCTACGCCTAAGCTTGTGCCCAACCTAAGCGCTAGCCTCAGCTAAGCCTAAGCCTAAGCCTAAGCCAGGCCTAAGCAAAAAACTTAGCTGATGTCTAATCTAAGCCACAGCCTAAAGCTAAGCCTAAGCTAAGCCTAAGCTAAGCCTAAGCTAAGCCTAAGCTAAGCCTAAGCTAAGCCTAAGCTAAGCCTAAGCTAAGCCTAAGCGAAGCCGAAGCCAAGCCTAAGCTATTAGTAGCCTATGACATGGTTTATGTACATGTACCTAACTTTAGGTCAAATGCCCCCAGGGTTCATTCTGCCAATTGAGCGACGTGAAATGCCGCGATGGCGACGACCGTGAATGCCCGAAACAACCGCGATGTGGGGACGCTTACCTTATTCGAATTGTTTTTATTTCTATTTGCCCCGTTTTGGAAGCATTTTAGGGCAATCTAGCGGAGATCATTTGCATTTTTAGGCATCGCTAACGCCTGCCCGCACGGCGACCCCTTCACCACCTCGGCCGGATTTGTGCAAAACTGCCAGGCGGCCGCCGATTGTCCAAGGCATTTCTGGTGCCATAAGGTATCGTCTTACGCTTAAAAATTTCTTTAATAAAGTTGTGCTTGACGCTTTTTATAATTTCTTTGCAGTTTGGAGCCTCATCGGGCGGTGTTTGCTGCCCGGGAACGACGCCAAATATCCGAGGCGGCTCCTGCCCGGCCACCACTCCCCTTATCGACGATCTGAGCGTCGAGTTGTGCAAGGTTTGGTACTTATCCATTATAAGGGGGAGCGGCAATTATTTTGTAAAAGTCCAGTAATGCCTAGTGTCTTAAAGCGCACGTTCAGGGAGGGGCCGTATACTCTGTCCAACGTATACACCCTATGGACGTAGGGACGGCGCGCGCTGCCTGCCCGTGCTGTGACAGGCCATTTCCCTCCTTTGCGGCGTGGGGCGCCCCTCGCCCCCTCGCCAGGTTGTAGCTGTGGCTGACTGGTATCCATCCGCGCCTCCCGAGCGGGGGGCCCGGGTTCGACCCCCGGCCGCGGCAGAAATCTTTGCTTTTTTCCAAAAAAACGTCCCTGAACGTGCCCTTTAATAGGTATTTTTTATGGTGTTTTGAGGAAGTTGCTAAATTTCAGGGAAAAACTTCCAAAAACTTCTAAAAAATTTTTAAATTTGAGATTATGGTTGAAAAATCGATATTACTTGTGTTTTTTGCTTAAAATTGTCTAAATCGGCTCGTTAACCCCCTCCCCCGATAATGCAAAAGCACCCTTTGTTTAGAAGCAATGCTTGACCGACGAGCATTGTCCCCCTCAGCACAAGTGCTGCTACAATGGCTGCGGGATGAGCTGCATCGGTAGGTGGCATTTTCCACGAGAGAGAGAGGCGAGAGAGAGAGAGAGCGAGAGAGAGCAGAGATTTTCGCCGAGATTCGCCTGGCTTAGTTTTAATTTTTCAGCGGCCGCCGCTTCATTTTCGGAGGCCGCACCGGAAACGCCAATACTTGTGAAGCCCGGCAGCTGTCCCGCTGAAACGGTGGAAAAAGAAAAGTGCCCAACCACGTAAGATTTTGTCGGCGCAAAAACCTGGTTCATTGCCCTGGAATTTCGAGTCTAGTCGACGACATTATTTTTGCAAATTTATCCAATCTGTCGTTTAATAGAAAAATAAGGGTGCTTGTGCATTATCGGGGGGGGGGGGAGGGGGGCGGGGTTTAGAATTTTTTTCGATAAATCTAGATGGTAATAGTAAGTATTTTAAAGTGTTTCAGAAAAGTGTATCTAAATTACATTGTTCCCATCTAAAAAAGGCTTTCAAAAGTGCGAAAATTTTATCCAAAAAATCGTTATTTTTGTATTTTTATGCAAATTTGTAAATTTTTGGGCTTGGAAATAGTAAGATACAATTTAGAATCACTGCCTCTTTTGATATTGCAAAAATTGGACATGCGGAATAATCCAAAATTGAGATTTCTAGCGCCGTGGACCTGTGCCTGCACGATTCGGCGTGCCCGGGCGTCCAGAAGTGCTGCTCGGACGGGTGTCGAAAGTGGGAATTTAGACTTTCTAGTTTTATCCCTAACTCTAGGTATTGCACATACCCGGAAAAAGCTTCCGCTTGCGTCCAGCTGAAATCCGCGCTTCAACAAATCGGCCAGACGAACGACGTGCAGTGCGAGATGGGTAGGTTTTTATTTATATATTGATTGATTCATTGCAAATTCAATTATTGTTATTATTGCTTTATTATACCCGTAAATATCAAGACAAGAAAATCAATACGTTAATTAAATTAAGTAAATTCCACCTTCTTCCCACTTTTCTCCATCGCGTCCATTTCACGGCCGAAAAATTTGCGGTAGAATTCTTTCTTTTCCTGAAAAAAACAGCGCTCTAATTGATTTTTTGCTGGATTTTGCAAGATTTTGTTATCGCGCTAAAGGTTGCCCTTCGCCTACCGTAACCGGGAATTTTTGCGGAGCCCTGCGGCGCATGTTTATCGGCTTGGTGTCGTCCTCCATTTTCTCCATGTCCCACATGGACACCGGATTGTAGGCCTGGCCGTGGGCATACGCGTATGGGGAGGTACCCTAAAGGAAATCGGGGTTTAAAGGGGCAGACAAGTCTGGTTAGTCGACGTTAGTCGTGGACTATTGGCAAATAGCCACCCATGACCGCAACGCGACCGCGCGCAACATTCCTTAGCTTCTGTTTTGACGTGAAAACTTGTGAATTTACAAATTTACACCATTTCTGAAATCTCCCTGGCGGTTTTGGTACTATACTGTTAGCGGGGGAGGGGGATTTTTAACGGAGGCAGGACCAAATTTTTCGCTTTTATCCCTATAACGCAATGCCATCCTTTTTATAGATTCTTACACGTTTTTAGCTATAAAAGCTCCGAAAAAGCATAAAAAACTTCGAATTTTTGATTTTGGGGTCAAAAGATATGCAAAAAAGGTAAAAATCTTTGAATTTTCAAACCCCCCCCCGCTAATAGTCCAGTACCGTGTTTATTTCAATCATATAAATTAAAGACCCAGAAGTGCTTTTTAACCGATTTCTATAATTTCTGTAAAAAGCCCATACCTGTTCAACAGCCCCAGACAATGGGAATCGGACTCCCTGGCCCATTTCACCGATAGGGAGCGGCAGGTCGAGACCGCCAATGAAGAACGTGTCGTCACCTAAATTCCATTATAGCATTAACGGCTGTCTTTACTATAAAAATATCATTACAATGGCTAAAACGGCGAAAAAGGCTGATTTTATACCAAAAAGCGCAATAATTTACGTTTTTAACGTTAGAAAAAAATGCTTTTGGAGCTTTTTATCTGGCGAAAACTACCAAAAACAATAAAAGACACGATTTTACTATTATTTAGTGGTTACTGTCTCAT